TTGTTTTCTTTTAAATTTGGATCCCAAAACAAACGTGAACAGTGACTGGCCAGGTTTAGCTAGAGATTTTAAACTAATTTTTTAAAATATTATTTTTGGCCTCATTTTGGCTTCTATTTTTAAAGTAAACTATGCCGTGCAAGCGTGGTCGTTTTAAAATAAATACTTACTTATTTTCTTTAGCTTTTAATTTCAAACAATCTATTCATACGACACTCAGCATACACCAAGTCTGCCAAATTATTTAATTTTTCTTTCTACATATTATGTAATAAATATTTGGCTACACGTTAAATATTGACAATTTTATAGTTGCTTGAATTTTTGTTGTTGCTTTTCTAGACCTGCCAAACGTATTTGACTTCTAAACTAGCTTTTTTTATTTTGTAAAATTTTTAACATAAGGGCCGGATCGTCTTGGGCGCAGGATCGAAACCTGAACTGCTAAGCAGAATAGTGCAATCCATAGCGTCAATTACAAGGCTAATTATTATATGTAGATATATATAAGCCCAACTACAGGCACACAAATCAGATCAATGCATTCAATAAGCATAGCCTCATTGTTGTTTGCATGGGAATTATGGGCAATGGCAGCTGAATTATGAAGATAAAATCCAAGTCATGATAATGAGATATTAAGGGAAAGTTACTAGGAATCTCAGGTAAATATAGTATTTCAAATAACGTAGCAGGCGATAGAATCCAAAAGACGAGTGGTTAGCATGATGACCAGCTGAGAATTGTTGAAAAAACGGAAACTAGAATAGTTCAGGTATGTCACAAGGACGACATGTCTAGCAAAAAAAAAACAACTTTTTTTTTTAACAAGGCACAGTGCCAGGCAAACGATAACAGGGGAGATCAGGGGAGATCAGGGTAGATCAGGGGAGGTCAGGGGAGATCAGGGTAGATCAGGGGAGGTCAGGGGAGATCAGGGTAGATCAGGGGAGGTCAGGGGAGATCAGGGGAGATCAGGGGAGGTCAGGGGAGGTCAGGGGAGATCACGGAAGATTAAGGGAGATCAGGGGAGATCAGGGGAGATCGGGGGAGATCACGGAAGATTAGGTATGATCAGGGGAGATCACGGAAGATTAGGGGAGATCAGGGGAGATCAGGGGAGATCACGAAAGATCAGGGGAGATCACGGAAGATTAGGGGAGATCAGGGGAGATCACGGAAGATTAGGTGAGATCATGGGAGATCAGGGGAGATCAGGGGAGATCACGGAATATTAGGGGAGATCAGGGTAGATCAGGGAAGATCAGGGGAGATCAGGGGAGATCAGGGGAGATCACGGAATATTAGGGGAGATCAGGTTAGATCAGGGTAGATCAGGGGAGATTAGGGGAGATCACTGAAGATTAGGAGAGATTAGGGGAGATCAGGGGAGATTAGGGGAGATCAGGGTAAATCAGGGGAGATCAGTGAAGATCAGGGATGATTAGGGGAGATCGGGGTATATCAGGGTAGGTCAGGGGAGATCAGGGGAGATCTGGGGAGATCAGGGGAGATCATGGGAGATCAGGGGAGATCATGGAAGATCAGGGGAGATCTGGGGAGATCAGGGTAGATCAGGGTAGATCATGGGAGATCAGGGGAGATCATGGAAGATCAGGGGAGCTCAGGGGAGATCAGGGGAGATCAGGGTAGATCTGGGGAGATCAGGGGAGATCATGGAAGATCAGGGGAGATCAGGGGAGATCGGGGGAGATCAGGGAAGGTCAGGGGAGATCAGGGTAGGTCAGGGGAGATTAGGGAAGATCAGGAGAGATCAGGGGAGATCAGGGGAGATCTGGGGAGCAGTGGAGCTCAGGGGAGATCTGGGGAGATCAGTGAAGCTCAGGGGAGATCTGGGGAGATCAGGGGAGCTCAGGGGAGCTCAGAAAGTTGGAGGCACTGAGCATGGTGGAATAGAGTGAATTGCAGGAATGTAATAAGAAAGAAGCATCTGGCGCCCTAACGGTCCGACAATACCACGGGACAGAAGTCGCCAGTCTTACTGTTTGGTTTGGTACACCATCTTCCTCAAATATGTGACTTCATTAGACCGTGCTCAACGTAAACAACGCAACATCACACAAGGGTTCTACTGTCTCAAAGAGTTATTTTTAGCTCGACGTCTCACTAGGAAACTTGGTATCAACCATGATAAATTACAGACAGTGCCAGACTTCAATGCAGGGCCAGACTTCAAGGCTGATAGTAGAACCGTTTTCCTTTGGATGTCTGGTGCTAGAACAGTTTTTCCCCTTCATTGTTGCTTATTAAATTAAAACAAAAAACACAACCCGGAGTTTTTATGTAATCGTGTTCAGATAAGTGCATTCTTTGATGTTTGGGGGTAGGGGGGGTGGGGTTGATGCGTGCATGAGCAGTTAATTAGATAAATACTTTAAAAATACCTACTTTTAATTAAAATTTATTTCGTTTATTGATCATATCAAAGTTTGTTGGTTTCGTTTCTTTGAAAGACTTGGGCGTCAAACATTCCAAGTTTTTAGTTGAACAGTGCGTTAGGTGTAAAGTGTCAAATCAAAATTGGTGTTCACAAAAGCAAACGTTTCCAACAAAAAAAACCTGAAGGATAAATTGTGCTTTAAGCGCATCAAGTTTCTTTAGATCTGACAACATCGTGTCTTCTTAAAATAGCACTAGTTTTTAAGACTAATTTAAAAAATATTTAAATTGCTCGCATTTTTTAAATGTAGTATGGCCGTACTGTTTTTTCAGATTCATATTTGAAAAAAAAACAAACAACTAAATAGCATTTTAGAAAAATCTTTTAAAAAGTAACTTAATAGCCTGCGGTTTTTGTACATTTTGATTATCTAAACTTTTATAACATGTAATGTCTCGTTCATATTTGAGCTGAATGTTTTTGAGAATTAGTTTTACCGCAATAAACAATATTTAACCAGATGTTGCAACCAAACGTCTTCACCTGAAAGTTTTCAACAACATAAGCCCTGCGAATAGACAAAAGGATTTCGTCGGTAATACAACTTTGTTTAAAATAGAGCGAAATCTATCAGTTATTTACTTATCAATGTTTGATATACACAGAGGCGTCGGGAGGCGGGGGGGGGGGGGGCGGATCGCACCGGGTGACACCATGAGGTGCCGCACTGGGGGACACCCGACCTAGCGACGCCACTGAATATACATATTATTATATGAAAAGGATTTAAGAGGAGGGGGAATATATGATCTGAACTAGCATTACACATGTATGTGGGACAGGGTAGGATAATGTATGAGCTATCTACATAAGCTACCTGACATCTAAAAGTATTTTACATTTATGTTTAAATTTGTGTTAAAATTTATGTTTAAATTTGTGTTTAAATTTGTGTTTAAATTTGTGCTTAAATTTGTATTTAAATTTGTTTTTAAATTTGTGTTTAAATTTGTGTTTAAATTTGTGTTTAAATTTGTATTTAAATTTGTGTTTAAATTTGTGTTTAAATTTGTGTTTAAATTTGTGTTTAAATTTGTGTTTAAATTTGTGTTTAAATTTGTGTTTAAATTTGTGTTTAAATTTGTGTTTAAATTTGTGTTTAAATTTGTGTTTAAATGTGTGTTTAAATTTGTGTTTAAATTTGTGTTTAAATTTGTGTTTAAATTTGTGTTTAAATTTGTGTTTAAATTTGTGTTTAAATTTGTGTTTAAATTTGTGTTTAAATTTGTGTTTTATGTAGTGTTTTAACAAACTTACGAAAAACTTTTCCAAAGTGCTCTTGGTTAAAGATATTTTTACCCTCTCTGAAAATGTACTTTTTAAAATTTTGGAAATTCGATCATTTCTGATTCCACATGTAAAGGTCGGAATTATTTATTTTTTCAAATAAAAAATAGCTAAATAAATAAACAACTTGTCAAAAACTACTAAACTGAGTATCAAAATTAAATAAATTTTACATCTAAAAGGTTATCGAATTTCTTTTATTATTATTATTATTATTATAGATGATAACATACAAGTTACCTATTCTTTTGGAAAAACGGTTAACGCTCATTTAGGTTCAGTAATTTTTTTAGCCATCCCTTCGGGGGGGGGGGGGGTGTGAGAGGAGGGGGGGGGGTAAAATGTCTACATCCACCCCCCATTTTACCCCTCGAACGAAATAGAATTTATATAGAAAATATGTATATACTTTTACCAGTGTCCACCGCCCACTCCCCCCCCCCCCCCCGAAAATTTCAAGTGTGAAAGAAACGCTGTCAAGTTTAAAAGAAAAAAACAACTTTTAAAATGGAAACCTAGTTGTGTGTAAACAAATCAGAGTTCAATCCGTTCATGTAAGGCCAGACGACACCTAGACACGAACCAGTCGTGTGCCGGTGTTTACCTCTAGGGGCTTCAAACATCCATCACTTAGGGAGGTCATGTTGTCGTAACCTTTGACCCGAGACAAGTATAACACGGTTCTAGGTTCAAACGGTTGCGCCTTTGACCGCTGCTGTGGAAAGCGGAAGTACAACTTATGTAACCTTGTGTAACTTTTGTCCTTTTCTGCATCAAAGTGAGGCTCAATTATTGTAACAGCTTATCTGTATTGATGTGGTCGGGTGGGAGAGCACATGGCCGCTAACCCGAATTTCCAGAGTTCGAATCCTTAGGTAGACTGGGCTCGTTAGCTAGGGACAGCTGTCACAAATAGAGCAACAAGGAAATCAAACAGGAGTTCAGCATTAGGGGATTGGACTACAAACTTCGGTTTAATTTCTGTAGCTTCTGCAAGCACAGTTGGTACCAAACGTGGCTCTTTGGACTATACCTGCAAACGTAGCTCTTTGGATTATACCTGCAAACGTAGCTCTTTGATGTGCATCCTTTGTCTCCCGAGGAAAAATAGCGGATAGAATAAGAACGAAATAAGATGTTATTTAGGGCAGAAAACAAGACACACAGTTTTAAATTTAGACCAAAATAAAAATCCATTGGTTGAGTATTTTGAAATTTTGGTCAATTTTTTTGTTTTTTTTTTCGTTTGCAGGGTTCGGAGTTCAAGATAACAGAAAAACAGTATAATGGTAAGTTGTGTATTTTTTTTTATCACGTGACTATATGATGGGCTGTAATATACCGTAAACCGTCTTTGTTATTGGTAGCAGAGTTTCTTTCAGTCATTTTTCTCCAGGTGAGGGTGGGGGGGGGGGGCACTCGAAATTTTCGGAGAGATTCCTCGCCCCTCCTAGAGTTGCCTGAAACAAATACTGTCTGTAGCTTGTCGTTGTTGTGGCAGGGGTTGCCATGGCCGAGTCAGTAAAGCTCTTGGCTACTAAACAGAAAAGACCCAAGTTCGATCCCCAAGACAACTCTAACATCAAACAAATGCTGACTTGTAGTTTGTTCTTGGTTGGACAAAGGCTATGGAAGCAAATTCAGAAAAAAGATCATATTGAATTATGAGTCCACGGCCTACATGGCAAATACCAAGTTGACACTTAATACTTAATAGTGCTGGAAGAAATCCCTTCTAACATTACAACTAAGAACGAAGAAGAAGACGATGTTGTGGCTAGCTTGTTGTCTCTGTTTTTTTTATGGTTGATCTGTTGCCTGTAGTTAGTCTAACTTGATCAACTCAATACATTATTACCATGAGACACGTGACTAACTGATAAACCACGTGTATTGCATTTGTTCTTTTCCTTTTTGCAGACGCGAACCAGACGTTTAACTTGTTTGATAAAAAAGGCGATGGGACAGTGAGTACGAAGGACTTAGGTCAAGTTTTTAAAGGTCTAGGTCTACAGGTCGAAGGTCAGAAGTTGAAAGACTGGGCAGATGAGGCGGACGAGGAAGGTGGGTCTCACAGTCTGTCCTTGTGTTTGTTTGGCTGGTTATTTTGGTTGTTGGTTTGTTTGTTTGTTTGTTTGTTGGTTGGTTTGTTTATTGTTTTTTTTTGCTTGTTTATTGGTTGGTTGGTTTGTTGGTTTGTTTGTTAGTTGGTTGGTTTCGTTGTAATGAATGTTTGTTGTACTTTTTGTTGGTTACAGAGGCGTAGGGTGGGGTTTGTCGGGGTTGGTGAAGTGAAGGCCTCCACCATATGGAAGAAACCCAGCTATAACTTAATTTAAATGTGAATTTGAATGTGAACATGAATGTGAATAACAATATGAATGTAATCATGAATGTGACTATAAATGTATATATAAATGTGAATATAAATGTGAATATAATGTGCATATAAATGTGAATATCAATGTAAGTATAAATGTAACTATAAATGTGGCTATAAATGTGACTACAAATGTGAAAATAAATGTGAATATCAATGTGAATATCAATGTAAATATCAATGTAACTAAAAATGTGACTCTAAATGTGACTCTAAATGTGACTCTAAATGTGACTCTAAATGTGACTCTAAATGTGACTCTAAATGTGACTCTAAATGTGACTTTAAATGTGACTCTAAATGTGACTCTAAATGTGACTCTAAATGTGACTCTAAATGTGACTCTAAATGTGACTCTAAATGTGACTCTAAATGTGACTCTAAATGTGACTCTAAATGTGACTCTAAATGTGACTATAAATGTGACTCTAAATGTGACTCTAAATGTGACTCTAAATGTGACTCTAAATGTGACTCTAAATGTGACTCTAAATGTGACTCTTGCAGCCTGTGGATTCATCAGGTGGGAACAGTTCAAGCCAATTTTTGAGCTCAAACTACGAGAGGACGAGGACGAGCGAGAGTTGAAAGAGGCATTCCGAGTTTTGGATAAAAACAATAAGGGCGTCATTGCTGTAGAGGATTTACGGTATGTTCAGCTCTTTTTTTCTGGTCTGTGTGGCATAACTAGAGGATTTACGGTATGTTAAAATATTTTTCTCTGGTCTGTATGGTATAACTAGAGGATTTACGGTATGTTCAGATATTTTTGCTCTGGTCAGTATGGCTTAACTAGAGGATTTACGGTATGTTAAAAATTTTTCTCTGGTCTGTATGGTATAACTAGAGGATTTACGGTATGTTCAGATCTTTTTGTTCTGGTCAGTATGGTATAACTAGAGGATTTACGGTATGTTCAGATATTTTTGCTCTGGTCAGTATGGTATAACTAGAGGATTTACGGTATGTTAAGATATTTTCTCTGGTCAGTATGGTATAACTAGAGGATTTACGGTATGTTCAGATCTTTTTGCTCTGGTCAGTATAGCATAACTAGAGGATTTACGGTATTTTTAGATATTTTGCTCTGGTCTCTATGGCTTATACAGAGGCTTTAAAGTATGCTAAAAATTTTTGGAGTAGTCAGTATGGCATACATAGAGGATTTACTATATGGTGTATACTTTTTAAAAGATGATTTAAGGATTTAATGTATGCTACATACATTTTTTGGAGCTTAAATCTGTACAACACCACTGAGTTCACCCAGCTGCGATGGGTACCTGGCTTGAGTTGGTGAAAGTAAAACAAGCTGAGCATATTGCTAACACTAGTCCTTCGTATGTTGTAATAAGACGAACTCTACTTCATCTGCCTCATAGATCATCTAGTCTCAACAAAAAACATACATTTTTGTAACCGTATTAGATAAATTTATTTTTAAAAAAATGCGCTAATGTTTATAATTATCGTAGCTCGTCGCACAAAAAAAAGTAATTGTTTAAAATGCCAAAAAAAAAAACCGATAAGGTTGTATTAAGGGGACTAAATGCTGCAAAACGATACCAAACTCATAATTATGTGTGAAAGCTTAATTTTTATTTATGTTTACTTTGTGTTATTGAAATAAAAGCGAGGAGCCGTGATTAATGTATATTGAACAATTGCAATTTTAAATTAATGAAAACTAAGAACAGTACAATCTTTGTTAAGATAATAAAAGTCAAGAACTTTCTTAAATACATGTAGTTAGACCTATGAGCAACATTACGTCCAGGGTGATGTTCAAACTAAATAGCGCTTTGGGCCCATAATAATTTATTTTGTTTGTTTTAAAAGCTATATAATACGTGCTTTGTACACTTTACTCTTCAACATAATGTGAACAATTCATCTTTTTGGAAATGTGGAGCAATTTATTCTGTATCAATAATGGCACTGATTCTGAAATCAATATGAAATTTGCGTTCATATTGTTGTTAACCTTTTTATGTCCAAGGTTTTAAACATTAGACCTGACCCCCCCCCCCCCCCGCACACAATCCATGTCAGGTGGATCTCACTGACTACGTGACCCCCCTTCCACCCCCTACCCCCCAATCCCCGCCTCACTGTCGACGTGACCTCCCCCTCCCCGACACCCCCCACCCCAACACCCCCACCCCACCTCACTGTACTCCTCTATGTTCCAGGTGGATCTTACGGTCACTAGGCGACGACCTCACTGACAACGTGACCCACCCCACCCCCTACCCCACCCCATCCCCACCCCGCCCACCCCTCCTCACTGTACTCCTCTATCTTCCAGGTGGATCTTACGGTCTCTAGGCGACGACCTCACTGACGACGTGACCCCCCCCCCCCCACTACCCCACCCACCTCACTCTACTCCTCTATCTTCCAGGTGGATCTTACGGTCACTAGGCGACGACCTCACTGACGACGTGACCCCCCCCCCCCACTACCCCACCCCACCTCACTCTACTCCTCTATCTTCCAGGTGGATCTTACGGTCACTAGGCGACGACCTCACTGACGACGTGACCCCCCCACTACCCCACCCCACCTCACTGTACTCCTCTATGTTCCAGGTGGATCTTACGGTCACTAGGCGACGACCTCACTGACAACGTGACCCACCCCACCCCCTACCCCACCCCATCCCCACCCCTCCTCACTGTACTCCTCTATCTTCCAGGTGGATCTTACGGTCTCTAGGCGACGACCTCACTGACGACGTGACCCCCCCCCCCCACTACCCCACCCCACCCCACCTCACTCTACTCCTCTATCTTCCAGGTGGATCTTACGGTCTCTAGGCGACGACCTCACTGAAAACGTGACCCACCCCCACTACCCCACCCCCACCCCCTCCCCCCTCCCCCCACCCCACCTCACTGTACTCCTCTATGTTCCAGGTGGATCTTACGGTCACTAGGCGACGACCTCACTGACGACGTGACCCACCCCCACTACCCCACCCCATCCCCACCCCGCCCACCCCTCCTCACTGTACTCCTCTATCTTCCAGGTGGATCTTACGGTCTCTAGGCGACGACCTCACTGACGACGTGACCCCCCCCCCACTACCCCACCCACCTCACTCTACTCCTCTATCTTCCAGGTGGATCTTACGGTCACTAGGCGACGACCTCACTGACGACGTGACCCCCCCCCCCCACTACCCCACCCCACCTCACTCTACTCCTCTATCTTCCAGGTGGATCTTACGGTCACTAGGCGACGACCTCACTGACGACGTGACCCCCCCACTACCCCACCCCACCTCACTGTACTCCTCTATGTTCCAGGTGGATCTTACGGTCACTAGGCGACGACCTCACTGACAACGTGACCCACCCCACCCCCTACCCCACCCCATCCCCACCCCGCCCACCCCTCCTCACTGTACTCCTCTATCTTCCAGGTGGATCTTACGGTCTCTAGGCGACGACCTCACTGACGACGTGACCCCCCCCCCACTACCCCACCCCACCTCACTCTACTCCTCTATCTTCCAGGTGGATCTTACGGTCTCTAGGCGACGACCTCACTGAAAACGTGACCCACCCCCACTACCCCACCCCCACCCCCTCCCCCCACCCCACCTCACTGTACACCTCTATCTTCCAGGTGGATCTTACGGTCACTAGGCGACGACCTCACTGACGACGTGACCCACCCCCACTACCCCACCCCCACCCCCTCCCCCCTCCCCCCACCCCACCTCACTGTACACCTCTATCTTCCAGGTGGATCTTACGGTCACTAGGCGACGACCTCACTGACGACGTGACCCACCCCCACTACCCCACCCCCACCCCCTCCCCCCCTCCCCCCACCCCACCTCACTGTACACCTCTATCTTCCAGGTGGATCTTACGGTCACTAGGCGACGACCTGACTGACGACGAGATTGAAGATATGATCCAGGAGACAGACACTGATGGAAGCGGTACAGTCGATTATGAAGGTAAATTGAACCGGCTGGTTGGGCGGTTAGGGTTAGGGTTAGGATGTACAAAGGGTGGTTTTTTTTTAAGCAGGGGCTGTTATTTAAAAAGTGCAGGGTGAATTATAATTTTATTCATTAGCTTTCAATTTTTAAGGCCTCGCCAAATTCTAGAAGTTGAATTGCAACGAGAGTCAGAGAATCCGTATTACTACACACATTATCAACCTTAAATAATTAACATTTAAAAAAAAATTCCTAAATTATTTTGTTGTGTATGGGAAGTAACCATGAAATTTCTTTTTAAATATTTTCTTTTTGAGTAGCCTCCCCGAATGGGTATCTGAGCAATATTTTATCTTTAAAACACTTTTCAGGAAATTCTTTTTATATTTAAGTTAGGCGTAACCAATAGTATTTTAACGTCAAGAGAAACAAACTTTGACAGTCTGACCACACAAGATAAGTTCAAATCCCAGATTTTACGAATAATAAAACCATTAGTTTTTTTTTCTTCCTTTAATTTCACCCTTTGATAATTTTTTCTAATTTGATTTTTATTTTTTTAATTTTTATTTTTAAGTTGGTGCATACAAGTAGATTAGTTTATTTTGCCGCATGTTTTATTGCTTCGATTCTTTTCTCTCTAAGTCCTTAATTTTCTTTAATAGTTTTTTTTTTTATTTGAAGACAACGAATTCCGAACTTTAACCTGCAAATTTTACCCTTCGAACTTTGACCTTTTGCATGAGCGATTTTTCAACAGCAGAATCGGATGTAAAATTCAAAACTCAACCTTTCAAACTTGAGTGACTAAAAATTCAAATTCAAACCTTACACAGCTCGAGTTTGGCTGACATTTTCAAATAATTTAACAATTGTAATTTTAAAAAAGTTTTAATGCAGTGTAATTTAATCCAAATTGATTATAAACAGATTGCTTGGAGTTAATGATTATTGACCCTAATTGACCATAATGTTAATTATTTTATATCCAGTCCTATATAAATATTATTTGAAAACATAATTCGTTTAATTAAGTATTGAAGTGACCAAAAACTTTATTGCTAATATAAAACACAATTTCCAAAATATCTATCTTTCAAAGAAACGATATTTTATTTTAAATTTCGAAGTCTAACAACATGTTGATTTTCTTTTTGCAAAATAATTTTTTTATTTTAAACCGACCGTGTTAAGCTAAAATATTTTTCAGTTCCAGTACTTTGTAAAATAAACTTTTACGTAGAACATTTATTTTAAATCTGTTCTTGAAGTATGTTTTAGAATATTTTTAAAACATTCTGAACTAAATACATTTTAAAGAAATAAACTATAATTTACCAAGAACTATTAGTTAGGATTATTCGATTTTTTATTTTTCTTCGAAAATTAATTGTTAATTTAAACATACAATTTAAATTAAAAAAAAATTCTACATAGGTATATTTTATTTTTAAACTTACTTTTGTTCTTATCTAAATTTCTGTTCTAATAGACAAAAAAAAAAGCTGAAATAAATTATTCTCTATCTAAAAATAATTATCTATTTAAAATTAATTATCCAGCTAAAAATAGACCTCTAGCTAAAAGTATTTCTCTAGCTTTAAAAAAAAAAAACAAGCTAAAAGTAATTCTCTAGCTCTAAATACGTCTCTCGCTAAAAATATTTCTCTAGCTTAGACTAAATCTCTAGCTAAAATAAATCTATAGCTAAAAGTACATCTCTAGCTTAGAAATAAATCTCTAGCTAAAAATAATTCTCTAGCTAAAAATATTTCTCTAGCTAAAAATAAATCTCTAGCTAAAAATAATTCTCTAGCTAAAAATATTTCTCTAGCTAAAAATAAATCTCTAGCTAAAAATAAATCTCTAGCTAAGACTAAATGTCTAGCTTAGACTAAATCTCTAGCTAAAAATAATTCTCTGACTGAAACCAATTCTTATTCCAGAGTTCAGAAACCTGATGTGCTCAAACTGAAGTCTTAGCATGTGACCTCAACCTTCCTGTAACCTTGACCCCGTTGACCTTTTCATTTTTTGCTCTAAAACTCCTCATCATGAAATCAATTTGACCCAGCGGCCGCTGGCTAATTCCAGAACTGTTTTCACATCAAGAGCCCGCGCGGAGGCGGTTTGATGACTGCAGTGATGTTTGTTTGTTTGTTTGTTTGTTTGTCGTGCTGTTCAACCATGACAGACCAAGACAAATAAACCAAATTTTCACATTTCGTTTTGTTCCTCTTTTCCCATATTTGTTTTTATTTATTTTTTAAAATTTTATTATTTTTATTTTGTTTTTGTTTTTGACCTCAGCTCACATCAGACGTCATCTTGATGTCATGTCATCGCATGTCATGCCACACACCCAGATCACTTTTTACCTCCATACACTAGAAGCTGTGTCATCGACCTCTGAATGACATCTAGCTAAACGTCACCAACTACCAACCTCCCCACATACCAAACACATCACCAAATGTCATCTATCTTACCAAATGCCACACATTTGACCGAATGTCACCCTCCTCACCTCTTCAGCCCTTAACACCTTATCTCCTTAAATGACATCCACCTTACCCCACCAATGACATCCACCTCACCAAATGCCATCCACCTCACCAAACGTCATCCACCTTACCAAATGTCATCCACCTCACCAAATGCCACACACCTCACCAAATGCCACACACCTCACCAAATGCCACACACCTCACCAAATGCCACACACCTCACCAAATGCCATCCACCTCACCCAATGTCATCCACCCTCACCAAATGCCCTCCACCTCACCAAATGCCATCCACCTCACCAAATGCCACACACCTCACCAAATGCCACCCACCTCACCAAATGCCATCCGCCTCACCAAATGTCATCCACCTCACCAAATGCCACCCAGCTCATCAAATACCACCCACCTCATCAAATGCCCTCCACCTCACCAAATGCCATCCACCTCACCAAATGTCATCCACCTCATCAAATGCCATCCACCTCACCAAATGCCATCCACCTCATCAAATGCCACCCACCTCACCAAATGCCATCCGCCTCACCAAATTTCATCCATCTCACCAAATGCCACCCACCTCACCAAATGCTATCCACCTCACCAAATGTCATCCACCTCTTCAAATGCCATCCACCTCACCAAATGCCACACACCTCACCAAATGCCACCCACCTCATCAAATGCCATCCACCTTACCAAATGCCACCTCTCTAACCACATACCTCCATCACATTTGCTGCATGGTTCAGTTATGTTCATAAAACCACCATCAAACTATTTAGTTATGTTCATTCAACCACCATCAACTCACCTCCACGAATGTAAACCGCTATGAGTTTTATTTTAAACTCACCACCACCGAAAAAAACCCCGAGCACAAGAAAGCACGTGAATCTGCCGTAGGTGTGTGCATATTGCTTTAGTGCTCACCAGTAAGCACGACATCTCTATAGAGGCGTGTCTGGAAGTGCCGCCCCCCCCCCCCGCCCCCATGCATGGGTTCTTATGTAGGTAGTTGGGCTGGCACGGAGAATGTGTTTGATTGATGTCAGTACCGGAGCCACCCCCAAAGACGTGTCCGGAATATTGTCGGAGCCGAGTCACAGAGGAAGTTGGTGCATGTTCTCTTGTGGAAGTCTTCAAGATGTTGCTGTTCAAGTTTACGGTCTTCAGGGTGCCGGTCTTCAGGGTGCCGGTCTTCAGGGTGCCGGTCTTCAGGGTGCCGGTCTTCAGGGTGCCGGTCTGCATGGTGCCGGTCTTCAGGGTGCCGGTCTCCAGGGTGCCGGTCTTCAGGGTGCCTGTCTTCAATGTGCCGGTCTTCAATGTACCGGTCTTCAATATGCCGGCTTAGGGTGCCGGTCTTAAATATACCGGTCTTCAATGTGGCTGTCCTCAGGTTTCCGGATTGTAAACAATAACAACATCACGCGTACAGAATGCTCAGGACAATCATCTGACAAGTCGATCCGTGTTCATCTGTCATCCGCCATCCGCCATACGTCATCGTGCTATCACCAACAGAAGAAAACAGCACCGCAATGAATGCCAGAAAATCTTGCGTCAAGTAAGAAATGCATCTTGACGACAAGGAACATGACACAGTTATATCCCCATGACAACGGCAGGAAATATTTTGACCATTTTTAAATTTTTCTATTTAACTCTTTGAGTTTTAGCTACATGCTAGATATGATAGCATTAGGTTTAGACATAAGCATTTTGGCTAATTTGGTATTCATCACCCCCCCCCCCCCCCATGTCGTGTAATCTATCCGTGCTAGCAGCACAACACACCAAGATTTAGACTGTGGTCAACTGTGCTGTTGGGTTGAAACAAAATGTCCGTCTAAAGACATCTTGACCACCACCCCATGCACTGGACCAAATGCTCGTCAAGACGGTTATTGTAAACGTGTGTCGTATGCATCTTGTGCTGTAGCCTTACCCACTGTAATGTGTTTCATGTTGGATGGAGTTGTCCAATGTTGTATGCATCTTGTTGGATAATGTTGTCCAATGTTGTATGCATCTTGTTGGATACAATTGTCCAATGTTGTATGCATCTTGTTGGATACAATTGTCCAATGTTGTATGCATCTTGTTGGATACAATTGTCCAATGTTGTATGCATCTTGTTGGATACAATTGTCCAATGTTGTATGCATCTTGTTGGATACAATTGTCCAATGTTGTATGCATCTTGTTGGATACAATTGTCCAATGTTGTATGCATCTTGTACTATGCATCATGTGGCATGTGTATGTCTAACAAAGCCGCATGCGTGTCCCCTGCATTTGATGCATGTTATAGACGGGATACGTCTCTTGGACTGGCTGTTGATGGTCTATGTGGTGTTGTATGTGGTCGGCTAAAAACGTCTCTAAGACCGGCTGTAGCTGGTCCATGTGGTGTTGTATGTGGTCAGTGGTCTGTTCAATGTGGTGAATATTATTTATGTCAGATACATTTGTTGCTTTAAGTACTGTGTGATTTTTTTGGTAGTTACGTCTTATACATATTGTGTGTTTTGTATGTTATTTATGATGTATGGCGTATTTATATGCTATATATATATTTTTAATGTATGAAGCGTATGTATGTGATCGCTTAGTTTGTTAAAAATATGTTTTTTGTATGTTTTATCTTGTCCGATTTTTATTTATTGTAAAGTAAAATATACAGTGTATATTTTGCATATTTTGAATATATAAGCTATGTATGTGATGTAAAAATGTATGTAAAGTAATGTATGTGTTTAATTATGCTTTATATGTGAGCTATCTATATGTTGTATATGCTGTAGTATAAAATTGTTTGCTGATAGACTCTTGTTTACTTCCAACTCAAAGTAAACGGCCACCTTAATGTAAACAACTGAAGATGGCCGAGAACAAGTTGGCCACCATGGTATATGGGCGTGGCCTGGCCTTTTAATCCTTTAATCCATGTATTATGTTAATCAGACTGACCACTCCCCCCTCCTTCGTTTCACAGAGTTTTATCATCTGATGATGGGCTGAGCACTCGTCACACCAAGCATTGGGATTAACATTCGGATTAACATCATTCGGATTAACACCATAGCTGCTAGCTCACCCATGGCTGTCGCTACCACTCTTAGCCTCACTGCTGCTAGTGGCTACCACTCCACTAACTCTTGCTACCTTACACTCACCATAACACACCACCACAAACAACCAATAGATCCATTTCATTCTCTTGTTTACTGCGTCACTATTTTGTGTGTATACGTAGATTCGTTTTGATTTACCAGTCACTTGTTGTGTATATTATTTATACACAATAAGTGAACGTGTAAAATATTGTACACTCCCCCCCCCCCCCCCCCCCGGCGTTTTTAAAAAAAAAAAACATCTTTTTCTTTTCACATTTCGGTATTTAATATGACCGCTGAGTCCTCAGCTTGGGTTTTTTAAAAAGTGAAATGTCCTGTTTTGTCCAACCAGGACATGTATGTCATGTATTTCGGTTATACACGACAGTTGTTTACTGTAAATATAACAGGTGTGTCCTTTACAATTTTGTCCTGACCATTTTTTTTTGTTTCCATTGAATGTTGTAAAGCTAATCTTGGCTACTTACTGTCTATTTCAATGTTGTAAAGCTAGACCCTGGCTATTTTCTGTCCATTTCAATGTTGTAAAGCTAATCTTAGCTACTTACTGTCGATTTCAATGTTGTAAAGCTAATTCCTTGCTATTTACTGTCCATTTCAATGTTGTAAAGCTAACCACTGACTATCAATATACCCGTGGTACGGCTAATCCTATAGATAACTGGCTAACGACATTACGAAACTAAACCAAAGCTGTCAATTTAGATGGTGACTAAATATTTCATGTTGTCTTAACACGCCCACTCATTACACTAATTAATTTCATGTTTCAATTTTTATAATTTGATTTTGTCACATTTTGATATGGAAGTTTATTAAACCAATATCTGATTTGATTCTTTAAAGAAGGTTTCCGTGTCTCTGTTTGGAGGTGTGTGTTTTTTGACTGATTGTTGTTATTTCAATACGTATATGGTGCTCGCCGAGTTGAATGAGATACCACCGAGCATTTGACTTGGGTTAAAATCATGTTTTTGTAAATGTTACCTTCATAGTGGTCTTAATAAAATAAACATTTCAAAATATCAAATAGAAACAGAAAAGATCGTATTTCTGTAAAATTCACATTTTACTTAAATTCGGTAAATATAAAAAAAAACCTTTTCTTTTGAAGACTGCATCATGTAGTTACACCATATTTATTTACATTTTCCATTTAAAAAATGAGAATGTTTTGTTTGTTTAGTTACTGAAAATACTAAAAACGTGAAATGCGTGAAATCTGTAGGAAAGTTTTAGAAATACCACACAATTATAAAAACATTTAGTATAAAAACATCGCACTCGATTTTTCTAGACAATACCCAAGGGTGTGGGGGGGGGGGGGGGGGGGGGGGAAGCATTAATGGTTTTTGAGCATGATTTTATTTTTATGAATAATTGCGTCTGAACTTCTGCCAGTGGATGATTTAGGCACAGTTTTGACTTTGGATGATTTTCAGTTGATTTTTTAAATTTTTGACTGAAGTGTTACATCAAATGATGTCTTTTGCTGGAAGCTGCATGTTTATTTATCCATGCTGTTGTTTCATACACTGGTGGTGGATGTTGTATGACCCACACTTTAAAAAAAAACTATTTTATAATGATTTTTTTTCTGCTGGTGTTCGTTGAAGAAAGACTTGCGGCTGATCATATTTTATGCATGGATGATTCTTGTTCAGTGCTGTATGATGCATGGGATATATTTTGAAAATACATTCGAAACACGGAAAATTGCATTTAAACAAACCTGCAGATACTTAAAAAGCGTCTCCATTTCCTAACAGATGTTTTGTTAATTTGTTTATTTTTTTAAAAAATGTAAAAAGGGACGTAATTATGATTGATAGTATTTGAGCGGTTAACAATTACACAGTTACTTCCCTTTGTATACAACCTCCATTTTAAAAAAAAGTATCAAGCTTTATGGCTTTAATTCATGTAACGCTCTGAAATAAAGCGATTCTTTAAATGTATTGTACAAAGAATTTCGTGTCATTTTGGTAATTAATTTTTCAAAGCTAATTAGATCGATTGCTCGTTAAACATAGACTTAAGTGCGGGTCATGCGTGAGCAATCCATCATCCGTCATCTATCGTATCAGCTATTCGCCCCTCTCTTGTTCGTCAGTCCACAGTCTATTGTCCTTTAATCTTCCGTCCGAGGTTCCATCAATCGTCCGTCAATCATCACTCAATAATGTGACTCGTCATTTTTTAATGAATCAATGGGCGAAATCGTCAGTTGTGGATTTTATTTTCGTCGCATCTGAAAAAAAAAGAACATCGATCCAAAGAGTAACTAATTTCAACATTCGGACAGTTCTACTTGACCGATACGATTCACAGTTGGCACGTGGGTCAAGACATGAAGACAATGCAATTTGAAACTAAATTTGACTTAATTGGATGCCTAATTAATTTTTTATTAATTAATTAAAATTTGGACCGAATCAATAGGCATGTCTATGCCGACCGCACCACACGCGTCATCACTTTCAATAGCTGCGCCATCAAGTTCAGTAGGCGCGCCATCACGTTCAATAGGCGCAATGGTTTTTAGTCATGTAACTCTATTGTGAATAAAACATGTAAAGTACTGAAAAAAAAATTCATAAAAAAACGTTTTAATAACAAGCTTTTATGTACTTATGCACTAAAAGTAGAAAATAAATTATACACTACTCTTTAAATTACTATAAAGAAAAGCGTGGGTCTCTTCTCAAATATTAGTAAAGGTATCAAATAGGTACTAAAGAACTAAAGTGACCCACGCTTTTCTTTATAGTTATTTAAATAGTAGTGTATAATTTATTTTCTACTTTTTAGTGCATAAGTACATAAAAGCTTGTTATTAAAACGTTTTTTTTATGAATTTTTTTTAAAATGTGAGTTTTGTATGCGCGTTACAAACTTTCTCTGGTTGTTATTGACTTTCTTTATTTTACCAGCTGGACAAAGTTGAGAGCGATTTTTTTAGTAGGTGCCTCAATCCTAACTCAAAACCTTATCCTGACCCTTAACTGTACAAGTCATATGGGGACCATTTACATAAAAGATGTACACAATATGTACAAGTTTTAAAAGGGCACCGCCTAAAGACAATAATTACACATGTACAATAAAGGGCATCCCTACATAAAATATGTACACAACCTGTGCAAGATATAAAAGGACAACCTACATAAAATATGTACACAGTATGTACAAGGTATATAAGGACAACCTACATAAAATATGTTCAAGATATAAAAGGACAACCTACATAAAATATGTACACAATGTATACAAGTTATATCAGGACAGAGACTTACACATACAAGGACCATAGACTGGTTTACCCTGTTCGACCTACAGCACCGCTGGTGTATATGTGTGTGTGTAGGCGCGGGGTGGAGCGGGGGGGGGGGGGGTAAATGAGAGCCCCTCCCTACATTGGCTACTGGCTTGAGTGACTAACTTTAGTCGATGAGAGCCTATAGTGGCGTTGGTGACACCAACATGACTGGATGGTGGCTGTTAATAAAACTCGAAACCAACTCGCCAGGGACCCGTGAAGACTGTATGTGTATCTGGGCAAGATTACTTCTATATAGTTTCCTATTTCAGAAAAAAAAATGTAAAAAGGGACGTAAATATGATTGACTGAGTGACTAACTTTAGTCGATGAGAGCCTATAACGGCGTTGGTGACGCCAACATGACTGAATAATTTTTCACCTTTTTTTTTTTTTTTTTTTTTTTTTTTTTTTTTTGCTGAAGTGTTAGATCAAATGATGTCTTTTGCTGGAAGCTGCATGCTTATATATCCATGCTGTTGTTTCATACACTGATGGTGGATGTTGTATGACCCACACTTAAAGAAAACTATTTTATAGTGTTCGTTGAAGCAAGACTTGCGGCTAATAGTATTTTATGCATGGATGATTCTTATTCAGTGCTGTATGATGCATGGGATATATTTTGAAAATACATTCGAAACACGGAAGATTGCATTTAAACAAACCTGCAGATACTTAAAATACGTCTCCATTGCCTAACAGATATTTTGATTATTTTAAAATAAAAAATGTAAAAAGGGACGTAAATATGATTGATAGTATTTGAGCGGTTAACAATTACACAGTTACTTCCCTTCGCATACAACCGCCATTTTAAAAAAAATGATATCAAGCTTTATGGCTTTAATTCATGTAAAAAAATTGTAACGCTCGGAAATAAAGCGATTCTTTAAATGTATTGTACAAAGAATTTCGTCATTTTGGTAATTAATTTTTCAAAGCTAATTAGATCGACTGCTCGTTAAACATAGACTTAAATGCGGGTCATGCGTGAGCCATCCGTCATCCGTCATCTATCGTATCAGCTATTCGCCCCTCTCTTGTTCGTCAGTCAACAGTCTATTATCCTTCAATCTTCCGTCCGAGGTTCCATCAATCGTCCGTCAATCATCAGTCAATAATGTGACTCGTCATTTTTTAATGAATCAATGGATTAGATCGTCAGTTGTGGATTTTATTTTTGTCGCATCTGAAAAAAAAAAAGAACAGTGATCCAAAGAGTGACCCGATTCAACGTACGTTAGCCCAGTTTGGATTATCTAAACCGTAAATTAGCTAGCAGGAATATTGATCAAAGTAATCGAGCCCGCCCATTTTGGCGGGGTGTTCATTAATTCGTGAGTGGGGGAAGGGTGAAGGGGGGGGGGGGGGGGGGTTTGGGGGGGGGGGAGCTGAATCATTAATGCTCTCATAATTCATAGCTGGTGTCGCGGGAAGGGGGAGGGGCGAGCGGGGGTGGGGATTAAGATGTCGGCTGGGTTAACCCAGGGCGGCGACGGGGTCGTGAGTCAAATTATGACCCCCGTTAAAATAATAGGGGGTCATAATGGTACGTCCTATAGGCGGGGGCCATGATGATACGTCCCTGTGGGCGGGGGTCAGAATAATACGTCCCTCTAGAGAGAGGGGGGTCATAATGGTACGTCCTCTAGACATGGGTCATAATGGTACTTCCCTCTAGGTAGGCGTTAGAATGGGAGAATATAACGGACACAATAAAAAGAAAACAATAACAACACCACACACAGAAATAACCAACGTACGACCCACATACCTCAGTAGGCACAGATGTATAAACAAGGGGGGTAGGGGAGGAAGTGGAGAGTGGATTACTTCTAAGAAAAACAAAATGTATGCA